CGCCAGTGCCAGTCGTTGCTCTGCGCTCGAGCAATCATTTCCGAGTCCGCTCTCTGCGCCACCCTTCTCTCGGAGCAGAAGGAGATCGATCGGTACAATGAAAAGAACAGCAAGCGGGAGAAGTTAGTGTTTTTCACTGGAGCGACTGAAGGGGAGCAGCATGGAAGGAAGGGAACATTCTGCAAGTATTGCAAGAAACCCGGTCATACTATCGACCGGTGCTACAAATGAAAAGCAGCAGACGAGAGACGAAACAACTCCTCTAGTCAGCAACCCTCGGCACCCTCGGCATCTCCTGCTGCATCAACGACCTTGTCGCCTCCCTTTGTCGTGAGCACCTCGCAAAATCCTGCGCGCACTTCGTCTAAGGACAAGGGCAAGGGACCAATCATGAGCTGCATGGCGCGTCGTCGCGGAGGCATCCGATACTACCACGACACCCAATTCCCACCTATGACGCCCATCGATCCCATCATGCCAAGTCCGAACAACGACCCCACGCTCAGCCACTAGATCAACAGATCGACTGACATCCTACCTAATTTCGAGTTGCCTCCAAGCACTCCGGAGTCCCCTCCCAGCTTTCCCGCGAGAAGATATATCAATCTCTCGCCGTACTCCGGAGACTTTGACCGCATCATCACTCCAAAGACCGCCGGGATTGCGCGCCAGAACCGTGAGCACTTCAACACTTGGTATCTTGATAGCTGCTGCGGACAACACATGGTGGGGTCACCAAGGTTCATCAACAACTCAAAACACATGCGACGACCGTGCGAAATCACCGACTGCAGTGAACCCAACCACTTACTCCGCTGCAGCACAGGCCCCGACAGGACACGCACACACAACTAGCTGGCTTTCGCCGTGGCTAAAATGGCAAGGGATGCACATCTGGTGGTATACATAGAGAACGTGATATACTCACCGACGGATGACCCGAAGAAAGCCGATGTGATTGTACGTGACCCAGACAGCGGAGAGACATGGATCACAGACAGAACTATCACTGACCCTGTGCTGCAGAACCGGGACCCCACCACCCGCAAACCCCCAGGCTGGGTTGCAAGAGAGGCACAGAGGCTGAAGGAGAGGGACTACAACCGGCACACTGAACACGTGGTGTTATGTGGTTTAGCCGTCGCGACCTATGGGGCAAACACGCCCCCCACGACGGCGTTCCTGAAGCTGCTGGCCACATCAGCAGCTAGGAACCGTTTTTGGGCCAACCCCTTGGCAAAATCCGCCAAGAAAATGGCCTGCCACTTCAGCCAGCGCTGTTCAGTGGCCCTCCAGCGCTCCCAGGCAAACGCCCTGCACACCAAGGCCAGGGCTGGGTTTGAGGCAGCGCACCCCCAGACGGCAGCGGACCTATGGCCGCTGCACCTGGGGGACATTCTCCACACGCTGGAGGGGTAGAGGGTCACTAAGGGGGGGGGGGACAGAAGGGAGGGTTAAAGGGTCAAAGGGACTAAGGGTATCATGAATCAAACTGCATGTCTGTACCCCTGCTGAGTCAATACAACGGACCGTTTGAGAGAGAGAGTTTAGGGTTGTATATACAAGTGTGTGTGTGTGTGGTATGTCCCTTTGTGTGTGTGGTGTGTCCCTCTGTGTTAGTGCGTCCATGCATATGTGTGTAAGTGCGTACATGTGTGTGTATGTGTGGGTGTGTGTGTATGTGTATGTAGGTGTCTATGTGCGTGTATGTGCACACATGTACGTGTATGTGTGTGTATGTGTGCGTATGTGTGTGTGTGCGTGTATGTGCACACATGTGCGTGTATGTGTGTGTATGTGTGTGCGCGCGCGGGTGTGTGTGTGTGTGTGCAAGCATGTGTGCATGTGTGTGTGCATGCATGTGTGTGTGTGTGTGTGTGAGAATTAATGCATGCATATCCCTCTGTGTGTGTGCGTGTATGCATGCGTGAGTACGTACATGCGTGCATATGAGTGTGTGTCAGTGCGTGTATTTGCACACGTGCGTGTGTATGCGTGTATGTGTGTGTGTGTGTGTGTGTGTGTATGACCCTCTGATTGTGAGCGTCGTGCAAGTGTGAGTACATGCATACACATGTGTGTGTGTGTGTGTGTGGCTACACAGCTCGAACCGATGCTGTGCCATTCCTAGGGCTGCTCTGCTGGATGGCAGTGTTACAAGCATGAATGAGAGCATGGGTGAAGCGTTAGAGTTCATCTGTAAAAGTGAAGCTGGTATGCCCAAGCAGAGCAACTGTGTCTTCGCTGCTATGCCATCAATGACACCCTTCATGCCCACAACTTATGTGGCTTTGTGTTCATCATGCCATGACTTGTTCATCGTGCCCACAATTCATGTGGCTTTCGGCTCATCATGCCATGACTTGTTCACCGTGCCCACAATTCATGTAGCTTTTTGTTCATCATGCCATGACTAGTTCATCGTGCTCACAACTCATGTGGCTTTCTGTTCATCATGCCATGTCTTATTCATCATGCCCACAATTCATGTGGCTTTCTGTTCATCGTGCCATAAATTGCAACAGGTGAGAGTGGTTGTTTCAGATCGCAATCTGTTACTTTCTCTGGTATCACCCTCTTCTCAAGTGCGTCTATGCCATATTCAATCTACTCTTTCAAAGAATGTCCAACAATAGTTTATTGCACACAAACCGACCCCATTTTAACATATTGCATACAACACCCTCAAAACCCCTTCAAATCGACCCCTTCTACTCCTTCATCCTTCCTCTCCCCTTCTCCCTCATGCATACTCCCCTCTCGTCTCGCCCCTCACCATGCCATAGACACTCGGGAACTTCCCTCGTATCCACGGTGGCTTGCGACAGTTACCTCTTTTGCCAACTGCGTTGCATGCTGCTTGCTGCCGTGACAACTACATGTTGTGCTGCTTCCGATGGGTCCTTTCTTGCTCGTGTCATCCGTTGTACAACATATCAGATCTATTAGTGATCCTGTATTATCCTGCTCTGATTCTCATTCTTGTCCCGCAATTGCACATCTCAACATTTTCATCTGTATCCACCGCCATGTATTGTCAGTGAGCTAGGCAGTTTCCAAAGGCAAAGCATGAGAAAATGCTTTGGGGGCAGATTTCAGCGAATGGAGGGAGCAAACGCGCTGAAGCGAACATTGAAGAGGAGAATAAGTGATCTTGGAATCCAGGTGGTAGTGGCAGAGAGAAGCGGAGGAGGCTGAGAAGGAGGAAGCAGTAGAACAGAGCGAGCTATGAAGGCAAGAAGTGGAGGAAATCAGAGATGAAGGACTATTGGTTGCTGAGGTGGGTGAGTGAGCAAGCGATTGGCAGCTGCAATGGGCTGTGCTGAGATGGTGAGAACAGGGGAGGAGAAGAAGTGGAGGGGAATGGGGCCACGGAAAAAATGTAACAGGGAGCTGGGAAGTGGGTGGAATGCAGCGGGAGACGCAACACTGTATGACAATTGCACATAGGGAGGGGCGTGGGAGTAGGACAGGTTGAATGTGGTGGAATGGGAGGGCAGGAGGATGAGAGGGAGAGGGAGAGGGTGAAGGAGGGGCAGTGGGAGGGGGGGAGCAGAAAAGGGGGGCAGGGGAAGTGGAGGTAAGAGTAGAGGGGAAGTGGGGAAGGAGGAGGGAGGGAGGGGATGAGAAAAGCGAGGAGACGAGGAGGGTAGAGGAGAGGATGGAGGAGGAGAGAAGGAATGAGGAGATGGGGGCAGAGAGGAAGGAATTGAGGAAGAGGGATGAGAGGAGAAAAGAGGAGAGGATGAAGGACAAGAAGAGGGATAGGAAGAGAGGAGGGAGGGGGAGAGAGGAGAGAGGGGGAGAGAGGAGGGATTGGATGGGAGGAGGGAAGAGAAGAGATGTACAGAAAGATAAGTGGGCGAGGAAGAGAGGAGGGAATGGAAGAGAAGAGGGAAGAGGAAAGGGTGGTGGTTTTGCAAGGAGCTAGAGGTTGGGGGAAGGAATGCAGGGCGAGGCTAATGATGAAATGAAATGGCAGGTGGCTTGCAGGTGACTGTCAGTGGACTGGCGGGGAGTTTACTGAAGCTACGCAGTATCAGCTTGGTCGTCACAGCAGTACGGGTTGCCGACTCCATTATCTGTTTCTCATGACAGATTGTGAATGTCAAATGCATGTGAACACTTGTATTTATGGGAGATTGGCGAGTGTGAGGGGAAAAAGTGGCCTTCAGAGTTTCAATCACCTGTTAGAGAGCGGCTTGCATCAATCCTTTACATATGCTTTACCAGAGACCAAGAAGTAAAAGGAACACAAGTTGGTACTTGATCCAGGGTAACATTAGTCACGATCCATCATTTACCATGTAGACAAATCAGAAGAAAGGGTTCACAATATATGCTGACATAGGTCAACCTTGAATATCTATGATGGATGGGAGGTGCAGAACAGGCCTGTCGAAGTTCCTGGGACCCATACTTGCGCTCCCCAGCTCCTCCCCATCTGACCCTGTTTTTGGTGTAGCTGAGCGTTTGGGCGCCCTTAACGGTCACGGGCGCACCCCAAAGTGAAAACTTAAAATCCGGGCCTGTGAAGAGTTTGCACTTAGACACTAAGGGAAATTTTGGGTGCTCCAAAGCTGACATAATCACTTTACAAACAGGGAAAAATCTACTCCTCTCGTGCAACCTAAGGAGAAAGGGGGGGGGGCACTTAAAGACGCTAAGGGAAAATTCGGGTGCTCCAAGCTGACTTAGACACTTAACAAACACAGGATGGCTAGAAAACGTTAAGGAAAAAATCCACTCCTCTCGTGCAACTCAAGGAGAAAGGGGGGGGGGGGGGACACTCAGACGCTAAGGGGAAAATCGGGTGCTCCAAGCTGGCTTAGACACTTTACAAACACAGGATTGGCTAGAAAACGCTAAGGAAAAATCCACTCCTCTCGTGCAACCTGAGGAAAGGGGGGGGGGGAGGGGGACACTTAGACGCTAAGGGAAAATTCGGGTGCTCCAAGCTGACTTAGACACTTTACAAACACAGGATTGGCTAGAAAACGCTAAGGGAAAAATCCACTCCTCTCGTGCAATCTAAGGAGAAAGGGGGGGTGGGGTCAGGCAGAATTTGGGGGGGGGTGTGGGTCCTACAACCAGAAACCAAAACTTCGAGACAGGGGAAGGCCTGGTTTGGGCCCTTAACGCATCCGGGGAAGGGTCGAGCGAGGCACTTAGTGGCACGGGTGCAGTGCGAATCTAACACTTTTGGCAGTCGAGCTGGAGCGAAAGTAGCCCGGAATGTTCAGGGCATTAAGGGCATATGCCCTTGAATCGACAGGCCTGGTGCAGAATCGTGATGGGCTTGATTGAACCCGGCGGTCAAGGGTAGCTTGGGGGAAGCGGCACTGCTGGTGGCACGCCATGGGAAGTGCGGCTGCGGCCATGCTCCTAGAGAAAGCAACTTGGAGTGCGGACCTCCCCCCAGGACCAATGCTTGCTGCCGCTCAGGAAAAGTTTACTTTGGTTTGCCAATACTGCCAATACTGCCAGTGCTGCCAGTGCTGCCGGTGCTGCCAGTGCTGCCAGAGTTGCCGCTTTTGCTACTGCCGCCACTACCACCAGTGCTGCTATTGCTCCCACTGCTGCCGCTGCTGCCACTGCTCCCACTGCTCCCACTGCTGCCACTGCTACCGCTGCTGCCACTGCTGCCACTGCTGCCGCTGCTGCCACTGCTGCCGCTGCTGCCACTGCTGCCGCTGCTGCCACTGTTGCCGCTGATACCGCTGCTGCCACTGCTGCCGCTGCTGCTACTGCTGCCGCTAACCCCACTGCTGCCAATTCTGCCACTGCTGCCACTGCTACCAATGCTACTGTTGCTGTCGCTGTTGCCACTGCTCCCACTGCTGCCGCTGCTGCCACTGCTCCCACTGCTCCCACTGCTGCCACTGCTACCGCTGCTGCCACTGCTGCCACTGCTGCAGCTGCTGCCACTGCTGCCGCTGCTGCCACTGCTGCCGCTGCTGCCACTGTTGCCGCTGCTACCGCTGCTGCCACTGCTGCCGCTGCTGCCACCGCCACCAATGCTGCCACTGCTATCGCTGTTGCCACTGCTGCCACTGCTGCCACTGTTGCCAATGCTGCTGCTGCTGCCACTGCTGCTGTCACTGCCACTGCTGCCGCTACTGCCACTGCTACCACTGCTGCTGATGCTGCCACTGCTGCTACTGCTGCCACTGCCCCCACTGCTGCCAATGCTGCCAATGCTGCCACTGCCAACACTGCTACCAATGCTACCATTGCTGTCGTTGTTGCCACTGCTGCCACTGCTGCCACTGCTGCCACTGCTGCCACTGTTGCCACTGCTGCCACTGCTGCCACTATTTCCACTGCTGTCACTGCTGTTGCTGCTCCTGTCACTGCTGCCACTGCCACTGCTGCCACTGTTGCCACTGCTGCCGTTGCTGCCACTGCTGCCATTGCTGCCACTGCTGCCATTGCAGCCACTGCTGCCACTACTGCCACTGTTTCCACTGCTGCCACTGGTGCCAGTGCTGCTGCTGCTGTCACTGTTTCCACTGCTGCCACTGCTGCCAGTGCTGCTGCTGCTGTCACTGTTTCCACTGCTGCCACTGCTGCCAGTGCTGCTGCTGCTGTCACTGTTTCCACTGCTGCCACTGCTGCCAGTGCTGCTGCTGCTGTCACTGTTTCCACTGCTGCCACTGCTGCCAGTGCTGCTGCTGCTGTCACTGTTTCCACTGCTGCCACTGCTGCCAGTGCTGCTGCTGCTGTCACTGTTTCCACTGCTGCCACTGCTGCCAGTGCTGCTGCTGCTGTCACTGTTTCCACTGCTGCCACTGCTGCCAGTGCTGCTGCTGCTGTCACTGTTTCCACTGCTGCCACTGCTGCCAGTGCTGCTGCTGCTGTCACTGTTTCCACTGCTGCCACTGCTACCTGACCCGCCCATGCCTCCGCCTCCAATGCCTCCAGGACCCATGGCTGCTTCAGATCCAGGAGCAGTTGACCCAGGTCCGCCCATGCCCCCTCCGGTTCCTCCGCCGCCCAATCCGTCCCCGCCCATTCCACCGCCGCCCATTCCACCGCCGCCTTTGGTTTCCCCAGCACCTATGGCTGCTTCAGATCCAGGAGTGGATGGCCCAGGTTTGCCCATGCCCCCCCCCATTCCACCACCCTTTCCTCCGCCCACTCCACCCTCACCCATTCCGCCCATTCTGCCGCCGCCCATTCTGCCGCTGCCCATTTCACCGTCATCCATTCCGCTGCCACCCATTCCACTCCCACCCATTCCTCCGCCACCCATTCCACTTCCCCCCATTCCACCGCCCCCCATTCCACCCGCATCTTTGCCACCGCCGCCTATTCCGCCGCATCCCATTCCCCCAGCGCCCATGTCCCCAGGACCCGTGGCTGATTCTGATCCCGGAGCAGATGACCCAGGTCTTCCCAGGCTGTCACCCATTCCCCCGCCGCCCACCCCAACCTCGCCCATTTCGCCGCCAATTCCGCCGCCAAACCCCCCTCCACGCAATCCGCCGCCGCCCATTTTGCCGCCGCCCATTACACCTCCGTCCATTCCACCGCTGCCCGTTTTGCCACCTCCCATTCCATCCCCGCCCATTCCACTGCCGCCCATGTCGTCGTCGCCCCTTCCTCCACCAGCCATGCTGTCATCCATGCCCCCACCAGGACCCATGGCTGCTTCTGATCCGGGAGCAGATGACCCCACTCCGCCTCCCATTCCCCCTCCGGTTCCTCCGCTGCCCATTCCACCGCCGCCCTTTCTATCCCCATCATTGCCACCGCCGCCCATTCCACCAGCCCCCATTCCTCCACCAACCATTCCGCCCCCATCATTGTCACCGCCGCGCATTCTGCTGCCGCCCATTTCACCACCATCCTCTCCGCCGCCAGCCATGCCCCCGCCCCTTCTTCCTCCTCTGCCCATGCCATCATCCGTGCCTCCAGGACCCATGGCTGCTTCTGATCCAAGAGCAGAGGAGCCAGGCCCGTCCATTCCCCCTTCCATTCCTCCTCCGGTTCCTCCTCTGCCCATTCCTGCGCCACCCATTCTGCCATCATCCATTCCACCGCCCACACCACCGCCGCCAGCCATTCCGCCATCATCCATTCCACCGCCGCCCATTCCGCCGCCGCCCATTCCGCCATCATCCGTTCCACCGCCGCCCATTCCGCTGCCATCACTATTGGCACTGCCCATTCCGCTGCCTCCCATTCCTCCGCCGCCCATGCCCCTTCCAGGTCCCATGGCTGCTTCTGATCCGGGAGCAGGTGACCCTGGACCACCCACACCGCCCCCCATTCCACTTCCACCGGTTCCTCCGCCACCCATCCCGCTGCCGCCCATTCCGCCGTCACCCATGCCACCACCCCCCCTTCCTCCGCCACCCATTCCGCCCCCATCATTGTCACCACTGCCAATTCCACCACCGCCCATTCCACCTTTTCGTCCTCTGCCGCCCATGCCATCATCCATACCGCCAGAACCCATGGCTGCTTCCGATCCGGGAGCATATGACCCAGGTCCGCCCATGCCTCCCCCCATTCCACCTCCGGTTCCACCACCGCCCATTCCACCACCACCTTTTCCGCCTTCGCCGCCCATTCCAACGCCGCCCATTCCGTCCCTGCCACCACCTCGCAGTCCACCGCCCCCATTTCCCCGGCGCCCGTGGTCCCCCCAGGACCCATGGCTGCTTCTGACCCAGGAGCAGGTGACCCGGCGGGTCCGCCCCTGCCCCCTCCCATTCCACCTCCATCTGTTCCTCCGCCGCTCATTCCTCCCCCCATTCCGCCGCCGCCCACTCCGCCCCCGCCCGTTCCCCCACCGCCCATTCCACCGCCGCCAGTTCTGCCACCGCCCATGCCCACGCCGCCTCTTCCTCCGTCACCTATTTCGCCGCCGCCCATGGTTCCGCCGCCTCCAATTCCTCCGCCCATTCCGCCCCCGCCCGTTCCACCACCGCCCATCCCTCCGCCGCCCCCGGTGTCACCCTTCCCATTTCCGCCCTTCCCTCCGCCGTTGTTATGTTTTTTACACGTCCAGCGTCCGCAGCGTGTCCATCCGCGCACTATCCCGCGCAGATCGCCTGCGCGGAGCCCTGAGGAGAAGCGGAAGGCCAACGTCGTGTGGGCAGAGAGCAGGACGAGCGAGAGGAGGAAAAGGGCCATGCCTAGGTCACAGCGACGACGCTGGTTCTGAGAAAAAATAAATAAGCGTGTCATAGCTCTTTTTACGCTTCTGGAGGTGATAAATCGCAGATGTATTGAACAATTTCGAGTGTGCCAAAGCACTCTGCAGTCTCAGAAAGTAGGCTACTTTCTGTGTGTGTCGGAATTGGAATGAGTTGGCAGTGCCAGCTGCACCAATTTGTACCATCTTCGTGTCGCCAATTTTGCGCGTCGCACATTGCGAAAATGCCCGAATTTCGAAATTACTCGGCAGTCAACGGAAGCATTGCACCAAGAAGCTGCAGCCACATGGACAACCGAACTGCCTTGTCAACGCAAAGAAGAAACGAGTCAACCGTACTCTCGTCTCGGTGACGGGAAGATTTCAGCAGCCGGCGTTTCAAGCCGTCATCCCGTACATGCCGGATGAAACGAAACGAGAAGGAAGTACACAACACTCGATACATGCTGCCCTGGTTTTGTTGCTAACACTTGACATCGAACATCCTTATTCACACTTACATATGATCCGTATTGTTCAGTATTATAATACAGCACAAACAATGCCCGGCGATCTTACGCGCCCTCAAGCTAGGAGAAGCCCACTTGTGTTCGGCTCTTCTGCTATGGCTCAACGCGACCCCACATAAGCCTCCCGACGGCCTATCCGTTTCCGTTCTTGCGTGACCACCGCCGGATACCAGCACCGCCTTTTGCCGTCACGACTGCATTGCGAATTGCTCTCGCGACTGTACTGCGAATTGCTCTCGCTACTGTACTGCGATTTGCTCTCGCGACTGTACTGCGAATCGCCCTCGCGACCGCATTGCCAAACACTCTCACGACTGTGTTGCGGCGAGCCGCGGGCCATGGCCACGGAATTAATATTCGCCGCGCCAGCACGTACCTCCGCGCCGCCCATCCCTCCGTCCCTCCGCGCCAACGATCTCGCTCATTCCCGCGTCGCCCGTAGTCGCGTGACGTGCCGTCGTGACGCCTCAACATGGCACGAGCTCCCTCGTTGCACGCGTATGATTTCGTCTGACAGCTGTCGCTTTGCCATTGGCCAGTCTGCTACTTGCGGGATTCCGTCGGTAGCGCTAGGCAAACATAAAGACGTGGATATTCGTTCGCGTTTTAGGCTGCACCGCTATAATCAGTCTCCGTTCCTGAAACGCTCCCCTCACACTGCGCCATTCATGCAGCGGAGAGGCTGTTTATTCTCAAGTGGGACCGTTAAGAGCAGCAAAGGGCGTCGCTCGGCCAAATGCAGGGCAGCCAACGAAAACGGGACCGACGCAAACGGGGATAGTCTGGTGCCATCAGGGAGAGTGTCACCCTCACCACCAGCATCATCGATATCATCATCACAATCATTACCGTCATCACAGTCATCATTACCGTCATCTCCTGATTGGTCAGAGTCGGATTTAGATGACGTGTCACCAGCGTGTCCTGTTCCGGATTTCACGGGACTGGGCGGGGAGATTCGTCTTCTTCGGCTTCAGGAGCTGTCCGGTTACCCAGCAGGTGCAGCTTCTGGGCGGCCGCTGTTGGTGTATCTGCCAGGAATGGATGGCACCGGGCAGTGCCTGCAGCCCCAGATAAAATCGCTGACACGTGCTGGGTACGTGTGTGTCTTACTGTTAGGTGTGTGATTGGATGGCGGTGTGTTAAGGCTTGCACACTCAGCTTATGCTGCTCTGTATGATGGCTGCTCCCTCTTTTTCCCGCCCCACTCCTCCCCCTCTTCCCCCCATCCCCACACCCGCTTTGGCATCCGCGCCTTTTAACACCCCCACCACCCACCGCTTCACATGGCTACTGCAGACTCATATTCAACCCCACCCTCCTCCCCTCCGCCCTTCCCCCTTCCCCCGTATTCCCTTCCGACCAGCTTTGACATCAGCGCCCTCTATATCCCCATGACCAACCGCTCCACGTGGCATGACGCAAATTCCTATTCGCTCCCCCTCCCCTTCTCCCCCCTCTCCCCATCCACTTCTTCTCCCCCAATCGTGCTCGTCCCCTCCCCGTGCAGCTTTGACACGCGCGCCCTCTACATCCCCTCCAACGACCGCTCCATGCGGCTAGAGCAGACCCTTATCGCCTCCCCCTTTCCCCCCGCCCTCCCTCCCCCCCTCCCCCGTAGCCCCTTCTCCCCGTGCAGCTTTGACACGCGCGCCCTCTACATCCCCACCACCGACCGCTCCACACGACTAAAGCAAATTCGTATTCACTCTCTCCCAATGCTCCTCATCCATCCCCTCCCCCCATACTCCCCCGTTCCCCCGTGCAGCTTTGACATCCGCGCCCTCTACATCCCCATGTCCGACCGCTCCACGTGGCGGCAGCTCGTTCGCCGAGTTGCGCCACTCATACAGCAGGCAGCCAATGAGGAGGACGCCAACGGGCGGGGGGGCAGTGGGGGCGGAGGGGGCAGGCAGGCAGCGCGGGAGGTGACGGTGCTGGCGGAGTCGTTTGGGGCGTGCCTGGCTCTGCGCATCGCTGCCGCCAATCCCGGCCTGCTGCACCGCCTCGTGCTCGTGAGACGCCTTTCTTTTCCCGCCGCTTTTCCCGTGCCGCTTTTCCCGTGCCGCTTTTCCCGTGCCGCTTTTCCCGTGCCGCTTTTCCCGTGCCGCTTTTCCCGTGCCGCTTTTCCCGTGCCGCTTTTCCCGTGCCGCTTTTCCCGTGCCGCTTTTCCCGTGCCGCTTTTCCCGTGCCGCTTTTCCCGTGCCGCTTTTCCCGTGCCGCTTTTCCCGTGCCGCTTTTCCCGTGCCGCTTTTCCCGTGCCGCTTTTCCCGTGCCGCTTTTCCCGTGCCGCTTTTCCCGTGCCGCTTTTCCCGTGCCGCTTTTCCCGTGCCGCTTTTCCCGTGCCGCTTTTCCCGTGCCGCTTTTCCCGTGCCGCTTTTCCCGTGCCGCTTTTCCCGTGCCGCTTTTCCCGTGCCGCTTTTCCCGTGCCGCTTTTCCCGTGCCGCTTTTCCCGTGCCGCTTTTCCCGTGCCGCTTTTCCCGTGCCGCTTTTCCCGTGCCGCTTTTCCCGTGCCGCTTTTCCCGTGCCGCTTTTCCCGTGCCGCTTTTCCCGTGCCGCTTTTCCCGTGCCGCTTTTCCCGTGCCGCTTTTCCCGTGCCGCTTTTCCCGTGCCGCTTTTCCCGTGCCGCTTTTCCCGTGCCGCTTTTCCCGTGCCGCTTTTCCCGTGCCGCTTTTCCCGTGCCGCTTTTCCCGTGCCGCTTTTCCCGTGCCGCTTTTCCCGTGCCGCTTTTCCCGTGCCGCTTTTCCCGTGCCGCTTTTCCCGTGCCGCTTTTCCCGTGCCGCTTTTCCCGTGCCGCTTTTCCCGTGCCGCTTTTCCCGTGCCGCTTTTCCCGTGCCGCTTTTCCCGTGCCGCTTTTCCCGTGCCGCTTTTCCCGTGCCGCTTTTCCCGTGCCGCTTTTCCCGTGCCGCTTTTCCCGTGCCGCTTTTCCCATGCCGGCTATGGTTCTCCTTCCGTGCCCACCCACATACCTTACTCTCTCCACTTTACACCACACCACTCCACACCACACCAGTCCACTCCACACCACTCCACTCCACACCACACCACTCCATTCCACTCCACACCACTCCACTCCACTCCATTCCGCTCCACTCCACTCCACACCACTCCACACCACTCCACTCCACTCCACTCCACTCCACTCCGCTCCACTCCACTCCACTCCACACCACTCCACTCCACTCCCCTCCGCTCCGCTCCGCTCCACTCCACTCCACTCCACTCCACTCCACTCCGCTCCACTCCACACCACTCCACTCCACTCCACTCCCCTCCGCTCCGCTCCGCTCCGCTCCACTCCACTCCACTCCACTCCACTCCACTCCACTCCACTCCACTCCACGCCCTGCCTCGGCTGCTCTTCTCAAATGCCCCCACTCACCTCTTTGCTCTTCCCCATCTCCCTCCATCACCCCCACCACCATCCCATCTCCAACCTTCCCTCCCTCTCCCCTTGCCCCTACCTCCCTCGCCCCCTTGGCCCCTCACCCCTTTCCACCACTCCCCCCTTGTCCCCTTGCCCCGCTCCCTACCTCCCCACTTGCCCTTTTGCCCCCCCCGCCTCACCACCGGTGCCACTGACGCCCTGACCTGACCCTGCCGCAAGCAGATCAACCCAGCAACGGCCTTCCCCAGCATCAACTCGCTCCTCAGCCTCTGCTGCCCTTTTCATTTGCCCCCTTGCCCCCTCACCCCCTCGCCCCCTTTCCACACCACCCGCCCCACGGCAACATACGCTAACCCCGTGGCAAGCAGATCAACCCAGCAACGGCCTTCCCCACCAACAACCCGCTCGTCAGCCTCTGTGTCGCCACGGGCCTCCTCGCCTTCTTCCCGCCGCCACTCTACGAATTCGCCCAGGTCACTCCCATACCACTCTCACTTGCTTTCCTCTCACTTGCTTCACTTGCTTCCCTATCGCTTCCTTTCCTCGTATATGCCACTGTGTTAGTTTTTTCTTCCCCCCATCGCTTTACCAATTCGCCGAGGTCACACCAATTCGGCCTTCTCTTGCTTTCCTCTCACTTGCATTCCTCACATTACCCACTGAGCTAGGTTTTTTTCTTCCCACCTTGTTCTCCTGCTTCCGCAACACAAGCACCATGAGAAATAGTCTTGACTAGACTGTAAAGGATTCCACATCACCTTTCCAATGCACCCTTTCCCGGTCGGCTTATACGCACCCTTTCCAGGACGTGGTGCTGCCATGCCGCTGCTGGTGAAGCGAAGCTGAGTTGGAAGCATCGCTCCAGCAACCAGCAGCACCAGCACCAGCACCACCACCAGCACCAGCACCACCACCATCAGCACATTCTATCTGCCTCTCTGCCCTCTACCCACCCCGCCCTGCCTGCCCTCCATATGCCATGCTAGGACGTGGCGCTGCCTCTGCTGGTGCGAAGCTAAATCCTACGCACCTCTATACACTCTACCCACCCCATCCCCGCCCTGCCTGCCCTCCATATGCCATGCCAGGACGTGGCGCTGCCTCTGCTGGTGAAGCGAAGCCGAGTGCAACCCCCTGCACCAGCAGCAGCCGGCACTAGCGCGCGAGCGGGAGGCGGAGAGGCGTCTCTGCGGGTGCTGTCGCCCATCGACTACGTGCCAGCAGCGTGTGCGTCGTGGCGGCTGTCCCTGCTGAACGACCAGTCAGGGCTGTCCGATGCCGTGCTGCGCTCCATTCGCACGCCCACCCTGCTGGTAGGAGGACTCTTGACCATGGTAGTGTAGGGTGTGGCAGCAGGGAGTGATTGGTCCACTTTAGCGGCGCCTATATCAGCGGCTGTCGCTGCTGAACGACCAGTCTGGGCTGTCTGATGCCGTGCTGCGCTCCATCCACACGCCCACCCTGCTGGTACGACACGCTGACTTGAGTCGACTCAGAGATTAGATCAACTAAAACATTCAATTGACTCAGGAACCAGTCGGGGCTGTCTGATGCCGTGCTGCGCTCCATCCTCACGCCCACCCTGCTGGTAGGCTTTTCTTGAGGTGCCGCTCTCAAAGAATGCCAATCTCTATGTGATTCTGCACAGCTTTATCAGCTCAATCCATGTCTGAGCCAATTAAGAGGAACCAGTCAGGCCAGTTCTAATGCCGTGCTGCGATCTATCCACATGCCCACCCACCCTACTGCTATGTAGCTCTCGTTTTGAATTGACTCAAATCCTGAGTTGACAGAATACCAGGGAGGGGTGTCTGAGGCAGTTCTGCGGTCCATTCCATTTGCATGCCCACCCATTTGCATGCCCACCCTGCTGGTACGATGAGTCTCTAAGACGGTGGCTTAGGGTGCAGGGAATGGCCCGCTTATGAACTCCTCAGAAGTCACTCTCACAGCCACCCTGCTTCCTCCTTTTCTGAACTTGCAATCAAGCTGATCTGTCCAATCAGCTGCAAGTCGGCAGGCGGAATGTAGCTGTTGAAAGAGTACTGTCAAGTGCTAACCTGTTAGAGGGAGGTGCGAGCAAGGAACTTTCAGTCATGCGGAAAGTCACGAGTGCCTGAAGTGCACACTTGCATTGCGGCGGACAGGTCAGTGGGACCAAGGACAGAGTGCGACGTGTAACGAGGTTGTTTTTTAGACGTCTCAAAAATAACATTTTTACACTTGCATCAATGCGGCGGACAGGTCAGTGGAACCAAGGACAGAGTGCTGCCATTAGTGCGCTGAGGGGTCCATCACCGCACTGAACCCCTCCACCAACCCCTCCATGCCTCCACGTCCTCCTATCTTTCTCCCCTCGTGCGACCACCAGGTGGCATCATCCAAGGACAGGGTGCTGCCAGCAGTGGCAGAGACAGGCCGACTGCTCAACCTGTTGCCACACAGCAAACGAGTCATTCTTCCCACCAGGTAACCCTTCCCACCAGGTAACCCTTCCCACCAGGTAACCCTTCCCACCAGGTAACCCTTCCCACCAGGTAACCCGCTTCCCACCAGGTAACCCGCTTCCCACCAGGTGCCCCTTTCTCGCCTCTTCCTTCTCTGCCCCTTCCGCTTCTCCACCTGCTGCCATCGCGTCATGCGCCAGCGCTCGCCTACCGTTCCTTCTGAAAAGCCACTCGCTTCCTCGTTTGGGCTCATGCATGCAGTTCAACACTTGCTTTCCTCCTCTCCCTCCTCCTACTCATTCACTGTAGCTACCATCCTTTCTCTCCTCATATCTCTGCCTCCCTTCCCCCTCTCCTCCCATCCCCTCTCAGCGGCCACACAGTGCTGCTGAGGCTGACGTGGACATTGCTTCCATGCAGCTAAACCTCAGTCTTCCGTCCTTTTGTTTCTCCCCTCTCCCCTCTCCCCTCTCCCCTCTCCCCTCTCCCCTCTCCCCTCTCCCCTCATCCCCACGCAGCGGTCACACAGTGCTGCTGGAGGCTGACGTGGACATTGCTGCCATCCTCGCCACTCACGGCTTCGCTCCCACCAATCACACTCCGCCACGCAAGCATGGCAAGCGTTCAGTCGTTGCAGACGAGGGGAGCGAGGCAACTATGAAGGGAGAGGCCGGGGAGGCTGTCATTGGGCGAGAGGGAGAGGAAGCAGCGACAAGGGGGCCTTATGAGGCTGAGTCTCCCCGGGCGTTGCGAGGAGGAGGGAGGGCTGAAGCTCCCCTGGGGGAGCAGGGGGGCTTGCAGCCAGTTGGGGAAGGAGATGGTGGGGGGGATGGGCGGGAGAGGGGTGAAGGAGATGGTGGGGGGGAGAGAGGGCGAGGGGAAACGAGGAGGAGGAGGAGGAGAAGAAAGAGCGGGAGGCAGCTGAAGGGGAGGGAGCTGGAGCGGCTGTATGAGGAGGTTGGGCGAAGCATGGACACGTGGCGGGTAGGTGGATGGGAGGGGGGGATGGAAAGGGGTAGGTGTGGAGGGGGATAGGTGAAGGAAGGGTGAATGGAAGGCAGGTAGATGGATGGAAAGCAGTCGAGGGGAAGGGAGCTGGAGCAGCTGTATGAGGAGGTTGGACCAAGCATGGACACATGGCGGGTAGGTGGGAGGGGGGTGGGCGGAGTGGAAGGTTGGTGGGTGGAAGGGGCTGGGTGGAAAGGGGAAGGGAGGGGGAAAGAAATGGGAAGGGGAAAGCGTTGATACACCAAGAAATGTGCCAAAGTAACTAGCGTTGATGCCAAAGTAACATCCTGCGTCAGGCCACTGAACCAATATACATGGGAAGGATAGCCACGTGTAGAAAGAAGTGTTTTGAGACGTCTCAAAACATCGTGCGTCAGGCCACTGAACCAATATACATGGGAAGGAGTACTCCTCTCTGTACTCACCCTGCTCGAACGACCCTCCCATGATCCCATCCCATTGCATGCCCATTGCTGCCCCAGACGCTGGTGTCGCCACTGGTGGTAGGCGAGAGCAACCTGCAGCTGGTGCAGCAAGAGGTACAACACTCCCATTCACAAGCACTGCACTCTGAATGAGACGCACTGCACTCTCAAGAACCTCCTGACTGGGGTTTCCTGGCACTACGAGGAAGCACTGCAATCTCATTACACGCACTGCGTTTCCTCGCCTATGAGCCGCTGCTCTCTCCTCTGACTGTCCTTTTCCCTTCGCCATGTCATTCCTCCCTGCCAGTCTTCCTTCCTTCCTTCTGTCTTTGCTATCCGCTGGCCTCAGCTCAACTGTGGCTTGATTGGAGCGTGCTGTTTGCTGCCTGATGCACACCATCTACTGATTCGCCATCTACTGATTCGCCATCTACTGATTCGCCATCTACTGATTCGCCATCTACTGATTCGCCATCTACTGATTCGCCATCTACTGATTCGCCATCTACTGATTCGCCATCTACTGATTCGCCATCTACTGATTCGCCATCTACTGATTCGCCATCTACTGATTCGCCATCTACTGATTCGCCATCTACTGATTCGCCATCTACTGATTCGCCATCTACTGATTCGCCATCTACTGATTCGCCATCTACTGATTCGCCATCTACTGATTCGCCATCTACTGATTCGCCATCTACTGATTCGCCATCTACTGATTCGCCATCTACTGATTCGCCATCTACTGATTCGCCATCTACTGATTCGCCATCTACTGATTCGCCATCTACTGATTCGCCATCTACTGATTCGCCATCTACTGATTCGCCATCTACTGATTCGCCATCTACTGATTCGCCATCTACTGATTCGCCATCTACTGATTCGCCATCTACTGATTCGCCATCTACTGATTCGCCATCTACTGATTCGCCATCTACTGATTCGCCATCTACTGATTCGCCATCTACTGATTCGCCATCTACTGATTCGCCATCTACTGATTCGCCATCTACTGATTCGCCATCTACTGATTCGCCATCTACTGATTCGCCATCTACTGATTCGCCATCTACTGATTCGCCATCTACTGATTCGCCATCTACTGATTCGCCATCTACTGATTCGCCATCTACTGATTCGCCATCTACTGATTCGCCATCTACTGATTCGCCATCTACTGATTCGCCATCTACTGATTCGCCATCTACTGATTCGCCATCTACTGATTCGCCATCTACTGATTCGTCTTCTACTGATTCGCCATCTACTGATTCGCCATCTACTGATTCGCCATCTACTGATTCGCCATCTACTGATTCGCCATCTACTGATTCGCCATCTACTGATTCGCCATCTACTGATTCGCCATCTACTGATTCGTCTTCTACTGATTCGCCATCTACTGATTCGCCATCTACTGATTCGTCTTCTACTGATTCGCCATCTACTGATTCGCCATCTACTGATTCGTCTTCTACTGATTCGCCCTCTACTGATTCGCCATCTACTGATTCGCCATCTACTGATTCGTCTTCTACTGATTCGCCCTCTACTGATTCGCCCTCTCTTACCCGACTCCCTTCTCTTACCCGACTCCCTTCTCTTACCCGACTCCCTTCTCTTACCCGACTCCCTTCTCTTTTCTCCTTCCTCCGCTCTATGTCACCCCCTCTCTATCACCCCCTCTCTGCCCCGCCCTCTCTGTCCCGACCTCTCTGTCCCGCCCTCTCTGTCCCACCCTCTCTGTTCCCATCCATTCTTTCCCGCCCTCTCTGTCCCACCCTCTCTGTTCCCATCCATTCTTTCCCGCCCTCTCTGTCCCGCCCTCTCTGTCCCGCCCTCTCTGTCCCGCCCTCTCTGTTCCCCTTTCTCTCACCACCAGCTGACCCAGCATCCCAATCGCAGTGTGCTGTTTGTGGGTAATCACACCATCTACGGCTTTTATGACACGCCTCTGCTGCTCTATGAAGTGAGTGTGTGCGTGACACTACACCTGCTGCTGCTGCATCAAGTGAGGGTGTGCGGGAGTGGACCGTGGGGAAGTAGACCGTGCGGGTGGGAGGATCATCGGGTTGCCAGTTTGTTGGCATGCTACGTGTGTTCAATCAATTTAGGCATGGTCAAAACAGGTCAGGTCAGGTCGAGTCAGGTCGAATCACCCGACCCAGGGTTTTGGCTGGGTTGGGTCGCTTCTCCAGTGAGTTTTGAGCATTTTCAAGGGCTACTCCAGTGGGCTTGACCCATCCAGCTCGACCCTACCAGACCCGACCCGACCCGACCCGACTCAACCCGACCCGACCCAACCCGACCCAACCTGACCAGACCCGACCCGACCCGACCCGACCCGACCCGATACCCCTCAGGTAGGGATTCACCAAGCCGGTCGCCGACTTTTGCCCAAGCGAGGGCAAAGCTAATCTCGTCAACACTCCTCTCCTCTCCTCTATTCCCCTCTCCTCTCCTCTCCGTCATCTCCTCTCCTCTCCTCTCCTCTTCTCCCTTTCCTTCTCCCCTCTTCTACCCTTTTCCCTCTACCTCGCCTCCCCCCTCTTTCCTCCTGCGCGGATGTACATGCGATGAGGGGATTTAAGTGTCACTGTCTCGCACATTCCACGTGATAAAAAGAAGTGGTTTGAGACGTCTCAAAACACTTCTTTTTTCACGTGCCTCTCCTCCCTGCGCAGCTGTACATGCGATGCGAGGATTTGAAGTGTCACTGTCTCGCACATTCCTCTTCTCCCCTCTCCCCCATTCTCCCCTCTCCCCCATTCTCCCCTCTCCCCCATTCTCCCCTCTCCCCCATTCTCCCCTCTCCCCCATTCTCCCCTCTCCCCCATTCTCCCCTCTCCCCCATTCTCCCCTCTCCCCCATTCTCCCCTCTCCCCCATTCTCCCCTCCCTCCCTTCTCCTCCTCCCCTCCCTCCCTCCCTGCGCAGCTGTACATGAGGGGATTCAAGTGTCGCTGTCTTGCACACCCCAGCTTCTGGCTCCAGGATTCTCTGGCAGAGCTCGTGGAAAGGTGAGGTGGGTTGTGGTGCTGGTTCAAGTGAGGTGGGTTGTGGTGCTGGTTCAAGTGAGGTGGGTTGTGGTGCTGGTTCAAGTGAGGTGGGTTGTGGTGCTGGTTCAAGTGAGGTGGGTTGTGGTGCTGGTTCAAGTGAGGTGGGTTGTGGTGCTGGTTCAAGTGAGGTGGGTTGTGGTGCTGGTTCAAGTGAGGTGGGTTGTGGTGCTGGTTCAAGTGAGGTGGGTTGTGGTGCTGCTTCAAGTGAGGTGGGTTGTGGTGCTGGTTCAAGTGAGGTGGGTTGTGGTGCTGCTTCAGGTGAGGTGGGTTGTGGTGCTGGTTCAAGTGAGGTGGGTTGTGGTGCTGGTTCAAGTGAGGTGGGTTGTGGTGCTGGTTCAAGTGAGGTGGGTTGTGGTGCTGGTTCAAGTGAGGTGGGTTGTGGTGCTAGTTCAAGTGAGGTGGGTTGTGGTGCTGGTTCAAGTGAGGTGGGTTGTGGTGCTGGTTCAAGTGAGGTGGGTTGTGGTGCTGGTTCAAGTGAGGTGGGTTGTGGTGCTGGTTCAAGTGAGGTGGGTTGTGGTGCTGCTTCAAGTGAGGTGGGTTGTGGTGCTGGTTCAAGTGAGGTGGGTTGTGGTGCTGGTTCAAGTGAGGTGGGTTGTGGTGCTGGTTCAAGTGAGGTGGGTTGTGGTGCTGGTTCAAGTGAGGTGGGTTGTGGTGCTGGTGAAAATGGTGGGCTTGGGGCGTTTTGGTGGGAGGGTCTTTCAGGTCCGCAACTGAGGAACATGTGTCCAGGGGTATTTAAGTTGGTGAGGTGAGGTGAGGTGAGGTGAGGTGAGGTGAGGTGAGGTGAGGTGAGGTGAGGTGAGGTGATGTGAGGTGAGGTGAGGTGAGATGAGGTGAGGTGAGATGAGGAGAGGTGAGGTGAGGTGAGGTGAGGTGAGGTGAGGTGAGGTGCGGTTAGGTGGTGATGTGATGTGTTACGTGAGGAGATACCGTCCCTACCACCCATGCCATCTCATACCACCCATGCCAACTCATCCCAACCATGCCATTCCATCTCCACTCCCCTGCAGCTTTGGTCATGTCAAGGCGTCGCCCCGTGCCTTATACGAGCTGCTCAAAGTACGTTGTTGCTCAATAGCCGTTCTCCCTCTTGTCTCTGTCGATAGCCGTTCTCCCTCTTGTCCCTGTCGATAGCCGTGTATTGGGTAGGTGGGACAGCGATAATTTTCTTGCCTCCTTGCCACCGCTTCAAGGTGTTGTGGAGAATCATGCAAAAACCATCTCTCCTGGTGCAATCACTTATATGCATACATTGTGGACCGTTATCCCATCAAGTCAATCTCATTGAGGTCCCATTGAGATCCCATTGAGATCCCATTGAGATCCCATTGAGATCCCATTGAGATCCCATTGAGATCCCATTGAGGTCCCATTGAGATCCCATTGAGATCCCATTGAGATCCCATTGAGATCCCATTGAGATCCCATTGAGATCCCATTGAGATCCCATTGAGATCCCATTGAGATCCCATTGAGATCCCATTGAGATCCCATTGAGATCCCATTGAGATCCCATTGAGATCCCATTGAGATCCCATTGAGATCCCATTGAGATCGTACATTCTGGACTGTGTTTTCGAGTCGACTCAAAGACTCGACCGTGTCCGCGCTGCTGTTTCCACCCCGCACCTCCTGCCTCAGCATTCTTTGTCCCCTCAGCAGTCTTTGTCCCCTCAACTCTCTCCTTCCCCTCCACCACGCTCTGCCATGTGCCTCGTTAGGACCCCATCAGGGGAGGGGCCACGTGCTCGTGTAGCCAGGAGGTTCTTACTCGACTCGAAACACAACCCCACATCTTCCTCCCTCCCCTCGACACCCACTCCCATGTGCCTCTTTGTGGTCCTGTCAGGAGGGAGGGCCCGTGCTGGTGTTCCCTGGGGGCTCCAAAGAAACATGCCGCCTCAAGGTGGGGGCTTGGGGAGGGAAGGGGAGGGAGGAGGTAAGGGGAAGGGAGGGTAAAGGGGAAGGGAGGAGGTAAGGGGAAGGGAGGGTAAAGGGGAAGGGAGGAGGTAAGGGGAAGGGAGGGGGAAGGGGAAGGGAGGAGGTAAGGGGAAGGGAGGGGCGGGGAGGGGAGCAGAGATGGAGGAGGGAAGGAAAGGGAGAGGAGAAGAGTTGGGGGAGGGAGGGGAGGGGAGGGGAAGGAGAGGAGGGGAGGGAGGGAGGTGAGGGGAGGGGAGAGGGGAAGCAGGGTGAGGAGGAGCCAGTAGAAGAGTAGCGAATTTAATACTCAAGTATTTTGCTCATATCATTGGGAGTGTGTCATGGTGGCTTCATGGTTGTGGGATTTTGAGACGTCTCAAAACACTTAATAATCACGTCATGGTGGCTTCATGGTGGAGGGGGCCAGGCCTAGCACAAGCATGAAATGAATCTCCTTCTTATTTGAGCGTTTTTTTTCTGAATTACCTTCTTGCACCCGTAACCCTGAGCTAATGGCATGAGGGATGAATGACAGAGGTGCATCCAGGCAGGGCCAAGAGGATGGCGCCGAGTTGAAAGGGTGAGAAGTATCAATTGAGGTGGGGCATGGGCGAGGGTAACAGAGGCAGCACAACCGCCAACACCCTCTCTTCATTCCTCCATCCCCTTTCCCCATCCCGTCGAACCAGGGTGAGAGGTATCAGCTGAGGTGGGGCATGGGCGAGGGAAACAGAGGCAGCAGCAGCAGTGGCGATGGGGGCATGATGCGCATGGCATCGAAGCTCAACGCCATCATTGTGCCCTTCGCCTTGGTCGGCGCTGACGACGCGTGAGTCCCATGGCCATTGCCTTAGCTGTTCTCTCCTCACCACCATCTCCATCTCTCCTCCTCCTCCGCCTGCTCTCCTCAACGCCATCATTGTGCCCTTCGCCATGGTCGGCGCTGATGACGCGTGAGTCTTCTAGAGAGGCTCAATCACGTGTGCTGTGTGGTTTCGCCCTGCTTTCACTCTCCCTGTACTCGGAGAGGAGGGTAGGACGAGGGCTGTACTCGCTATGCAGCCCTCGTCCTACCCTCCTCTCCTCTCTCCATTTCCATATCCCTTCCCCACTGGGCAAACCACTGGCCTCCCCACTGGGCAAACCCTTCCGCTCCTTGCATGTTCAGACTTGACCCACTACCTGCCCTGCCCCCCACTCTTTACCCCCTTCCACTGTTCCCCCTTCCCCCATCCACCTCCCACCAGATTTGACATTGCATGGGATAGGAACAACCTGCTGGCCTCCCCTCTGGGAAAGCCCTTCCGCTCCGTGTACGAGTCGCTCAGCCTCGACCCCGACACTAACATCAGCCCTGTCACAACCGTTCCTGCCACAGACTTGAACCCTTCCCTCCCCGCCACTCCACTCCCCCGTGCCCCTTCCCGTCCATCCCCAACCCCCCATCCACCCCCACCAGCTTTGACATTGCTCTAGACCGAAACGATCTCCTGGCCTCTCCGCTGGGAAAGCCTTTCCGCTCCTTGCATGAGTCGCTCAGCCTTGACCCTCTCCCTCCCTTCCCTTCGTTCCCTCCTCCCCCAATCCCCTCCCGCTACCAGTTTTGACATTGCTCTAGATCGGAACGACCTCCTGGCCTCTCCGCTAGGAAAGCCTTTCCGCTCCTTATACGAGTCGCTCAGCCTTGACCCAGACACGGATATCAGCCCTGTCACAACCCTTCCCGGCACCAGCCTTCCCAGGTGAGATGCGGTGGGATGCGGTGGGGTGGCTGGTCTCCCCTCTGGGAAAGCCTTTCCGCTCCTTGTATGAGTCGATCAGCCTTGACCCTGACACTGACATCAGCCCTGTCACAACCGTTCCCGGCACCAGCCTCCCCAGGTGAGATGCGGTGGGGTGGGATGCGGTGGGTTGAGATATGCGGTGGGGTGGCAGGCCTCCTCTCTGGGAAAGCCTTTCCTCTCCTTGTACGAGTCGCTCAGCCTTGACCCAGACACGGATATCAGCCCTGTCACAACCGTTCCCGGCACCAGCCTCCCCAGGTGAGATGGGTTGGGAAACGGTGAGATGCGGTGGGGAGGGTTGAGATGGGATGCGATGAAATGACTGGCTTCCTCTGGGCAAGCCCTTCCGCCCCTTGTATGAGTCGCTCCGCCTTGACCCAGACACGGACATCAGCCCTGTCACAACCGTTCCTGGCACCAGCCTCCCCAGGTGAGATGCGGTGGTATGCGGTGGGTTGGGGTGGGGTGGTGTGGGGTGGGGTGAGGCTGGGTGGGAGGGGTGGGATGCGATGGGATGGGATGGGATGGGATGGGATGGGATGGGATGGGATGGGATGGGATGGGATGGGATGGGATGGGATGGGATGGGATGGGATGGGATGGGATGGGATGGGGTAGGATTGGATGGGATGGGATGGGATGGGATTGATTGGAGTCGGATGAGATGAGATGAGGTGAGATGAGCTTACTTGCTCGCCTACTCTCCTCCAACTCCCACCCCCTTCTCCACCCTCTCACCCCACCAGCCTAATTCCCCTTCCCAGTCGACTGGAGAGAGTGTACTTCTATTTTGGCACACCTATTGACTTCAAGAACCTTCCACCATCTGCAATAAAGGTGCGGTCGCTGTCATCATGCATCATAACATCATGTGCAGCATGCGGTCAGTGTGGCATCATGCCATCGTCGCCGTCATCATGGCATCACGGCAGCATGTCATCATGCAAACATGGCACACATGTGGCCCATCGCAGCATGCCATGTATGCTCTGACTGATCTCTCGTGCCATGTAGCATGAGAGTTTGCGCAAGTGCGTTGGCGCCTGGGCATGGGTGTATACATTGGTGTATGCTGGAGTGAGTGCATATATATATATGAAGGACTAAATCAAGTGGTCTTCTATTTGCCCCTTAAATCCCCATCCATCATTGCTTTCCCCAAGCACCTCAATTGCCTGCATGTTTGCATCATTCCCTGCTTGAGTCTGTTGCATGTGTGCTTGTCTCGTCTCACATTTCTATTGACGACTCGTTTCCGTCTCATGCTCCCCTTTCTCCCTCCCTCCGATTCCATCCCCCCTCCTTTTTCTAACAATTCTGCTGTATTGTGTCGTCCCATGGGGAATGTGCTGCAACCACCGCTCTGTCACCACCCCTATGCCACCAACTCTCTCCTACTGTACTCTCTGCACCGCGTCAACTTCAGGACGGTATGTGGCTTGTTTTCAGTCGCCTCCTATCTCACACGCATCTTGCTTTCAGCTTCTCATTCAGTCTAATCTTCGTTCCTGTCTGTCGTTCTGTTTTTTATCCAACTGACGTGCTTCCTTCCCTGTTCAGCTTGGTTTCAGCCTCTCACTCGGCTCATTTCATCTCAGATTGATTTCTCCCTTACTTCTTTCCTTCAACGCAAAAAACTGTGTATCGGGCTTGGCGGGAACGCACGTGTGTGTGCGGCCTTGCTTGTGTGAAATTCTGTGCATGTATATATCCATCCATGCATGTATGCATCAACATTCATGCTTGCATGTGTGTGCATGTGCATGTACATATGCGCATGATCCAGGCATGGTGCGACATGCAGTGGAGGAGGGTATCGACCACCTGCTGGCATTGAGAGAGACCGATCCGGTGAGTAGATAGAGAGAAGGTGAGCTGGGAAAGACCCAATAAGTTGGTATAACCCTGTCGCAATGGGTTTGCAAAAGGCCACAGCCAGGCATGGTCAGGCATGCAGTGCAGGAGGGTATCAACCACCTGCTAACATTGAGAGAGAGCGACCCGGTGAGCTGAGAGAGGAGCAAGTGTTTTCCCACTCCCCCTCTTTGTGCTGCTCCTGTGCGCGGATTGACATCTGTCTGTCGCTCTGTGGGCTATGGAACTGCAGGAGAGAGAGCTGCTCACCCGCTTGACCTCCAAGGTGCAACGCCTGTGGCCGGAATTCTCCCGGAATTGACTGGAGCTGAGTGAATGTATAACGCGGGCTCTGATATTTGATTCGTTATGCTATATACCTCCGCAAACATATTTATGCATTGGAGCATTGCACCAATATAATGATAATGCTTGATGGGCTCACTTTTCCATATTGTGGTGGTTGTGCATAAAACGATGGCTCGTCTTTGTGTTTCCATATTGCAGTGTACATATTCTCAGTGTACTATCACAAAATCATACAGAAGCGACAATGTGCTGCAAGGGGTACAACTTTTGGTGTGGTTTGTGATGTCAGGTTTGGTGCAGGAGGATTTGCTGCCTGGTCAAAGAGGCGCCACCCTGACATCGAAGTTGGTGTCAGCTTGGCGGGAATGACATGGCGCAGCGCCAATCAGCAGCCTCCCCAGAATCTTGCTTGTATACTGTACAGACGAGGGTAGCAGTTCAGCGATCGGTTGGGGGGATGCGCGAGGGTCGTTTGCTTCGGTTTGAAAAGTTCATACGGGGGAAGGAGCGGTCGCTTCCGCCCGCTCGCGGGAGCGAAAGGGGTTTCGTTCAAACTCCCCGGGAAGACGAACTCGCCTTTGGGGAATGGTGTTTCCCCTTCACGAAAGCCTGGTAGGAAGCTCCTTCCTGGTCGACAGCCTGTTTACTTCAGCGAGAAGTGTTAGCACATCTAGAAGTGTTTACAGTATCTTGCTCGTCTGATCAGAAACCTCTGGCTTCGTGGTCGTCAAATCAGGCATTGCAGAAAAGCAGAAGCCAGAGCATTAGCAGGTCAAACGTAGGACAAGATGATAGGTTCCACAAGGATCCATTGTCTTCCTGACCATGTTCTTGTCAGGATCTTCTGGCATTCCGACGTTTTCCAGCCTACCTCGTCATTGTCTCTTTCGGACTACGCAAGTAGGGAGGAAAACGAAGATTCAGAGCCTGACCCGCATTTTTCGACGCCTCCTGCCTCTGCCGATGTCGCTCACGTTCTCCTCATTGGCTCAGTCTGCCGTCGCTGGCGGGAGCTCGCTCACGAATCCGTCACAACGCTTCTCGTTTCACGAAATCGTCTGGTGTCTCGCGAGGATCTCAAACGCGTTCTGGTGTCCTTTCCGAATCTCACTCGCCTGCACTTGAGCAACGGAAGCATGGAAACGATAGACGACGAGTTTCTGGCATTTCTCTGCTTTTCGTCACCAAATCTAACCGCTCTTCATGTCGGCACAGGCATCGCTCCGTACGACGACCAGGAGCGTGACGAAGAGGAGGAGATGGACGACTTTGACGATTCAGATCACCCCGTCACGACAGCTGGGCTGGAGATTCTCTTCCGCTATTGTCGCCGCTTGGAGCAGCTGTCACTCCAGTGTCTCCATTGGACCACAAAGCTTCCGCCTTCGTTCTTCCTGTTGACGCGCCTGCATACGCTGTCACTGGGAGAGGTTTCGCCTTTGGTGGATCCCAACTTCTCGAATCTTTCTTCTCTCACGAAGCTTTCTATTCAAAATCTTGACATGCGGTTACATCAGATGGCGCCGTTAACTCGCCTTCCGAATCTGACCAGCCTGTTCTTCCCAGGAGAGTCATACTTTCACAGTTTCGAGGGGGACTTCTCATTTGGTCAATTGACAGGTCTTCGTTCGCTGGGATTCGTGCGGGGGTCAACGGACTTTCCGTCAATGTTTCCGCCAGAATCACCTTGTTTCCATCTTCAACGTCTGCTGCTAAGCGATGTTCCGAGCATCCCGTCTGAGGAGCTTGGAGAGCGGTTTCCGGTACTTCGCGAACTCTGCCTTTCCGATAGCAGCTATTTCACTGAGCTACTGGTACCAGATTCCCTCACAAGCCTCAGCACATTGGAAATTCTAACCATTTGCAACTGCAGAATATCCAGCCTGCCCGAGAGTCTTGGAGATTTTCCAGGGCTGAAGTCCTTAGTGTTGAGAAGCTTGTCGCTGAAGAGACTCCCAGATTCTATTGGGTTACTCACAGAGCTTCAGAAGCTATCTTTGGACTATGTGGGCATTGACACCCTCCCTGCAGCGATTTCCTGCTTGGCTGCTCTTGAATCGTTGAGCATCACGGGATCCAGGCTGACGTCGATTCCGGAGGAGATAGACGAGCTGACGAATGTCCGCGATTTGGTGCTGAGCGGGTGTGAAGAACTGCAGCAGCTGCCGTCGTCATTCAGCAATCTCTCTTCTCTAACACGGCTCGAAATCAGCAACTGTCCCATTGTTACCCTTCCAGATGGTATAGGCCATCTTGGTGACCTGCGGGAGCTGACCTTGAGCCGCTGCAATGAGCTGACCGAACTGTCAGCATCTATCACTCAACTGAGCCGCCTGAAGATTTTCAAGGCCCGCATGTGTATCAAGCTCGCGTCTGCACCTCGAGCCTGGGGAAACCTCTTATGCCTGCGGGAGCTGGATCTGACGGGCTGTGTTCTTTTAACGGAGAGGTTAGAATCATTGCCGCGGTCTTTGGAAACATTGAGCTTGGGAAACGACACCAGCAGCATCATTCTTCCAGACCTCTCAACGACTCCAAATCTCAAAAAGCTGAAATTGATTCAGGTTACTTCCATGGACGCACCTGCGACCAGCCGTTGCCTCTCTCAGACAGAGCACCTGGAGATGCGCCTGGGCTCTGAACAAACAGAGTTTCCACTCCTGCTCGGGTTTCTTACAAGCCTCCGTGATTTACGCATCTCGAATGCAGTTTCCTTGCAACACCTGCCTCATGATATCGGCTCTGTTCTGCCTCAGATGCGACAGCTGCATGTGGAAGGAGCGGAATCTCTCACAGAGATTCCTGACAGTGTAACCCGGCTGGTGCAACTCACATCTCTTTATATTGAAGCTCCAAGCCTGACCCATCTTCCGGAGACCATTTCCTCCTTGTCAAGATTGGGCGACCTTAGCCTGCATAATTGCTCCTCCCTGACAAGCCTGCCCGGTTCTTTCACCAGCCTCACTCACCTGCACAAGTTGGATGCCAGCAAGACAGCACTTCACGTCCTCCCTCCCAACTTCCACCATTTGGCACGACTCAGAGAGCTGGATCTGAGTGGCTGTGAGCAGCTTCAGTCCCTGCCGCAACAGCTGTGTAACTTGACGATGCTGCGAGTGCTGAATCTCCATGGCTGCAAGATGCTTGGCCCAGAGCCGGTGCCTTTCAAACTTTACGTGAGGCTTGGGCTCAAGTCATACCAAGACTAGGTAATTAGGTAGATCCAGCAGTTGTTACTACATGAAATAGGGTCCTTAAGGTTGTTTGGGTTTGCATATTTGTGTACAACTGCTGTATTCATTGATAAGCACAGCACATGCCATACTACAGTTGCAAGGGTGCCTACGTGTAGAGTAGGACATGCACGGGTGGGTCTGTGAATTAGAAGTGCTTTTGTGGCCCACAAAAGCAAAAGCACACGGTCCTGCTGAACACGGGTGGGACATGCACGGGTGGGACATGCACCGTGTTCGGCCTGCTGCTAAGCAAGGCAGGGTGAAATAAGGTACACGTCTGACCTAATCCTAATCAAGAATGGTTTCGGTTTGGTCAATAGTGGAGAGATGAACGGATACACAACACAGACTGTACAGCTGTGAGGAAGACAAGATGGGGTATATCCAGGATAAAACACAGAAAGCACCAGAAACATGCACGGCCCAGTCACGTGCTTGGGGTGGGGCTGCTACTGGTACCTTGTCGCCCTCTGCCTTGTTAGAGGTATCTCAAAACAGTAGAAGCCCTCAGCCTCACTATAAGGTGTCTTCAGACACTGGAAGCTCTCTGCCTCGTTATAAGGTGCCTCAAGACACTAGTAGCTCTCCTATGCCTCAATGTCTGGCCGCGAGAGAGTGTAGTTGAGGGCGTTGAGTGTGAGCTGGGAGGGGGGAGGGAGAGGGGCGAGGGAGTGGGAGAGAAGGCAGAGAAGATAAAGCGTGATTGACAGCAATGGAATGGTTGAGAGGGGAACGGCATGGGTGGGTGCTCGTTTAATCTCACCATGCTTGTTTCATCTCACCGTACTTGTTTCATCTCATCGTGCTCGTTTCATCTCACCGTGCTAGTTTCATCTCACCGTGCTGGTTTCATCTCACCTTGCTTGTTTCATCTCACCATTTACTCGTTTCATCTCAACATACTCGTTTCATCTCAACGTGCTCGTTTCATCTCATTATGCTCGTTTCATCTCACCGTGCATCTCACCACACTCGTTTCATCTCACCACGCTCGTTTCATCTCACCATGCTCGTTTCATCTCGCCGTGCTGGTTTCATCTCACCACGCTCGCTTAATCTCACTGTTCTCGTTTCATCTCATCATCTCATCATCCAGTGGCCCCCCATGGTATGACACCGTGAACACATCCTTCGCCACCATGCCCTGCATGCACATGCATGGACAATAGGAGATGGGAGATGTGAGATGGGCAACAGGAGATGGTGATTACTGTGAAGCACCATCTCCATGGTACAAGTCAGTGAACATACGCTGCACTCACAGAACACAAAGCCTTTGCCAGCACACGCTGCGCTGCAGCACGATGGGCGAGCATGCGCAAACACCCGCAACAGGATGCTCACCTCAGGAGTCAGAACGCATCTGCTGAACCAGCGTCACACGCCACCCCCGTGTCACCCTCTGCTGACGTCACACGCCACCCCCGTGTCACCCTCTGCTGACCCAATTCCAGGGTGGCGGTGAGGGGAAAAATGGCAAGGTGCACGGAGAAAAAATGGCAAGGTGCATGGAGGAAAATGGATGGAAGGAATCACTGCTGAGTGGAAACTTGGTCAGCTGAAAGATTAATACTCAAAATCAACCTGTGCGGGTGCGCACGTGCACAGAGTGACACCACCCATCCACCCCCCATTCTCCCTCCCACCATTTCTCGATCCACACCTGTAGGGACGGCCCACCTCGATGCACCACCCATCCACCCCCCATTCTCCCTCCCACCATTCCTCGATCTCCTGCCATTCCTCGATCTCCCACCATTCCTCGATCTCCCACCATTCCTCGATCTCCCACCATTCCCCGCCCTCCCATGCAGCCTCATGTGATTGCCATGGCACATCCCCCCGCCGCCCTCCCCAGTCCTCCCATCCCACCCTCCCCTTTCATCCCCACCACCCTCCCCTATCCTCCCCACCACCCTCCCCTATCCTCCCCACCACCCTCCCCTATCCTCCCCACCACCCTCCCCTATCCTCCCCACCACCCTCCCCTATCCTCCCCACCACCCTCCCCTATCCTCCCCACCACCCTCCCCTATCCTCCCCACCACCCTCCCCTATCCTCCCCACCACCCTCCCCTTTCCTCCCCACCACCCTCCCCTATCCTCCCCACCCCACCACCCTCCCCTATCCTCCCCACCACCCTCCCCTATCCTCCCCACCCCACCACCCTCCCCTATCCTCCCCACCACCCTCCCCTATCCTCCCCACCACCCTCCCCTATCCTCCCCACCCCACCACCCTCCCCTATCCTCCCCACCACCCTCCCCTATCCTCCCCACCCCACCACCCTCCCCTATCCTCCCCACCGCCTTCCCCAGTTCCCCCAACCCTCCGCCCCTCACTCACAGTGCAGGGAGGTGAGTCGCATGTGAGACCCCTAGCTAGCTGCGTGCCTGACTCCTGCAGGTGTGCGAGTATGGGGTTTAGGGGGAAGGGGAGGAAATATTTGGAAAAGAAAGGGCACGGGGAAAGGGGCAGGGGGAAGTGGGAGGATGACAGGAAAAGGGGAGGAGGGAAATGGAAACGGAGAAAGGGGAAGGGAGATGAGGGGGAAAGGTAGAAAGGGGGAGGAGGGTTGGGGAGGGGAAAAGGAAGGGGAAACGGGGGAGGCGGAAAGCAGAAGGCGGAAACGGGAAGAGGGAATGGGAAACGGGGGAGCGAAGATGAAAGGGGAAAAGGGGGTGAGGTGGTGAGGGGAATGGCAAAGGAGAAAGGGAATAGGAGGACAAAAGCGATTGCTTGTTGATAAGTGCGTGGGAGTCTCTTACTGGCAGGGGGGCATGAGATTCAGCCCTTTTCGATAGAGTGACAGTGTGGGTGGGTGGGAACTGAGTGTCCAAGCAACGCCAAGCAACTCCAGCGTGGGTGGGAACTCCATGTCCAGGCCAAGCAGTCGTGGGTGAGACTCAAGCAGTCGTGGGTGGGACTCAAGCAGTCGTGGGTGGGACTCAAGCAGTCGTGGGTGTGACTCAAGCAGTCGTGGGTGGGACTCAAGCAGTCGTGGGTGGGACTCAAGCAGTCGTGGGTGGGACTGGTTCAAGCAGTACCAGCAAGCAATCCACTCCACTCGTCGGGTGCCATGCATTCTACACACTGGCTGCAGCGTATGGAAAGTAAGAGTATGGAGCACTGCTAGCAGCAGCCTGCCCGTGCACTCACAGCGTAGGGAGCTGGGCGGGGTTGCTGCTGTGAGGCGAATCCATGCTTCAGCAGCAGCCTCTATACAGTCACAGCGGCCTCGATATAGTCACAGCAGCATGAACCGCTGCTAGCAGCAGCCCCTGGCCTGCCCGCGCCACGGCCACTCCTGCCACTCTCATGCAACTCCTGCCACTCTCGTGCCATTCGAGGCACAGTGCGATGAGGAGGGAAGAACCAGGAGAGAGGGACGGATGAGCAGCCGGGGAGCACGGAGCTTGGAGGGCAAAGGTGGGATCGGAAGAGAGGAGCGGAGTCTGTTTTTTTTAGAATTCTCAAAAAAAAGGAGCCGTATGGCGCATCTGAACTTGGGGAGGGTGGGGGTCGGGGGGCTGCGAGTGTCTGGGGCGACTGGGGAAAGCGGCAGGACGGGTAGGGTGGTTAGGGTGGTTAGGGTGGTTAGGGTGGTTAGGGCTCGGCATGGGGCCGGCTACAGAAGAGCGAGGATGTGAGACGCGGAGGTATGGAGTGAAACAGAGAGGCCGACTTGGCGAATGCGGTATAGTAATGAGGGCAGGGTGGGACAGGGCGGGGCAGGGTGGGGGACATGTGGCGACATGCAGGGAAGAGGCCGGCACGGCGAGCATGGCAACAATCGCGGGTCATGGGTGACAGCATGCTGAAGAGCTGCGCGCGGATGGCGGAGCTGCGGATGGCGGAGATGCGGATGGCGGAGCTGCGGATGGCGGAGCTGCGGATGGCGGAGCTGCGGATGGCGGAGATGCGGATGGCGGAGCTGCGGATGGCGGAGCTGCGGATGGCGGAGCTGCGGATGGCGGAGCTGCGGATGGCGGAGCTGCGGATGGCGGAGCTGCGGATGGCGGAGATGCGGATGGCGGAGCTGCGGATGGCGGAGCTGCGGATGGCGGAGCTGCGGATGGCGGAGCTGCGGATGGCGGAGCTGCGGATGGCGGAGCTGCGGATGGCGGAGATGCGGATGGCGGAGCTGCGGATGGCGGAGCTGCGGATGGCGGAGCTGCGGATGGCGGAGCTGCGGATGGCGGAGCTGCGGATGGCGGAGCTGCGCGTGGCGGAGCTCAAGTCTCGCTGTTGTCCCTTTGCCGCCATCGCCGAGCTAAGAAGCGAGACTGCACGAAATGCGAGTCGCAAGTTTGGGAGTCGCAGCGAGGAGCAAGGCAGCGGCACGACATGAGAGGGTGGATGACCTCGAGGTGTGCGCTTCGAAGCGACGAGAGACATTGGAGATCTTCTGAGGCTTACTGCGCGCGCACTAAACAATCATACCTCCCCCCCCCCATCCCCCCCCTCTTTCTTCTCCCTTCTCCGCCTCGTATTGTTAACGCATGACGCGACGGGGCACGCGGCGGCGGAGTCGCTGCGCGACGTCGAAATGGAATTCCGCTCTCGCGGAATTCCCTGTGCTGCCGCCGAGCGACTTCGCCATTCTGCCACGTCAGCTTGGTAGTGCAAGTCGCGGATCGCGTTTCTTACGTAGCGCCATTGGGATGAGCTCACCAAATTGTCAGTCACTTCGGGACTTTGATTGCTGGTCATAGATTTATTCGCGATTGTGAAAGGACTGCTAATGACTGGTGCAAATAAGAAACACACGATATGGTAATTTCATTCTGTACAGATAACCAGAGTCTGAAATTGATGCTTGTGCTACTCACAACGGAAACTCTCATAATATCGGACCAGATTCAAAACGGGATTCGATTTTCTTCCAATTTCGTTGAAGAGGAGTGGAGAAAAGCTACAGTAGTCAACATTTTTTGCGAGACATTGACTGGAATTTCAAGTGTTTGACTCGCCGAAGTCCTATGCTTTCTCATTGGTCTATTGCTTACAGTTTGAGTCATCGCGCCGCGCAAAGACATTACCCAGCTTTGGCGACGCGATGAGGGTACAAAAATGCATACGGCAACTCATTCATTCCAACTTCACTTCGATTCACTTCACTACAGCCTCAAACATAGTACTTCGTGTACTGTACTCGTAGCTTTCCGATTCTGAAGCTGCTTCGTGTCTTCACTTCCAAGCTCCTGGGCAGCTAGATTGCTCCTGGACAGCTAGATTTATTTCTCCGAGTGAATATTAACTACATCCTAGGCAGTGAACAAGCACAATGACGCAGAAAGTCTCATTTTCGTCGATCCAGCGTCGTCGCCATGACCTGAGCACGGCTCTTCTCCTTCTCTCGCTCGTCCTGCTTTCCTCTCTCCACGCGGCGATGGCCTTCCGCTTCTCCGCGGGGCTCCGCGCGGACAAGCTGCCCGGGATTATGCGCGGATGGGCGCAAGGTGGACGCTCAACCGGCCAGCAGCAACAGCAGAGCGGCGGAACGAGCGGAGGCGGAATGGGCGGAGGCGGAATGGGCGGCGGCGGAATAGGCGGCGGGGGAATGGTCGGTGGTGGAATGGGTGGCGGCGGAATGGGCGGTGGCGGAACGAGCGGCGGCGGCATGGGTGGCGGCGGAATGGGTGGCGGCGGAATGGGCGGAGGAGGAATGGGCGGCGGCGGCATGGGTGGCGGCGGAATGGGCGGCGGCGGAATGGGCGCTGGCGGCGGCATGGGTGGCGGCGGATTGGGCGGCGGCGGAATGGATGGCGGCGGAATGGGCGGCGGCGGAATGGGCGGCGGCGGAATGAGCGGAGGCGGAATGGGCGGCGGCGGCTTGAGTGGCGGCGGAATGGGCGGAGGCGGCATGGGTGGTGGCGGAATGGGCGGCGGCATGGGCGGACCTGGTTCATCTGCTCCCGGATCACAATCAGCCATGGGTCCTGGAAGGAACATGGGTGGCGGCGGAATGGGCAGCGGTGGCATGGGTGGCGGCGGAATGGGTGGTGGTGGAATGGGTGGCGGCGGAATGGGCAGCGGCGGCATGGGTGGCGGCGGCATGGGTGGCGGCGGAATGGGCGGAGGCGGCATGGGTGGCAGCGGAATGGGCGGCGGCATGGGCGGACCTGGTTCATCTGCTCCCGGATCGCAATCAGCCATGGGTCCTGGGGGGAACATGGGTGGCGGCGGCATGGGCGGCGGAGGAATGGGCGGCGGCGGAATGGGCGGCCGCAGCGGAATGGGTGGCGGCGGCATGGGTGGCGGCGGAATGGGCGGCGGCGGCATGGGCGGCGGCGGAATGGGCGGCGGCATGGGCGGACCTGGGTCCTCTGCTCCCGGATCACAAGCAGCCATGGGTCCTGGGGGGAACATGGGTGGTGGCGGAATGGGCGTTGGCGGCATGGATAACGGAATGGGCATCGGAGGAATGGGAGGTGTTGGAATGGGCGGCGGAGGAATGGGCGGTGGCGGAATGGGGATGGGCGGCAGAGGGATGGGAGGCGGAGGGATGGGCGGCGGCGGAGGCATGGGCGGGTCAGGGTGGGTTGCTCCAGGGTCGCGGGCAGCACCCGGCCAGGGTGGACCTGGGATGGGCGGAGGGATGGGCGGAGGGATGGGGGGAGGGATGGGGGGAGGGATGGGCGGGGGGATGGGCGGAGGGATGGGCGGAGGGATGGGGGGAGGGATGGGCGGGGGGATGGGTGGAGGGATGGGGGGAGGGATGGGCGGAGGGATGGGGGGAGGGATGGGCGGAGGGATGGGTGGAGGGATGGGTGGGCCTGGGGGGGGTAACATGGGTGGTGGTATGGGCGGAGCAGGGTCGTATTCTCCTTGATGCAAGGCTGGCATCATGGGTCATGGGGAGGCATGGATGGCGGTAGTGGAGGAGGCATGGGTGTTGGAATGCACAGCGTAGGGGCATGGGATGCTGACGGCACAAAGTAAAAGAACCATTTGTAGGTGGCTTTGCCAAGTGGCTGGTACCGGGGATTGGCATTTCGTGCAGGTGACTTGTAGTGGTGGCATTGCTGCAAGAGCTTGGGTGCAGCAGCACGCACACGGATGCACGGGGTTCTATTGGTGTAGTGCTGCTTCGTCCAAGCTCGTAGCAGCCAGACAGTGTGGGGCAGTAGGATGTATCAATCGCAGGTTCTTTGTATCAACTTGTGGAGGGAATGTGTGCATATTGTGTCCTCTCATCTGTGGCAATTCTTTCTTCCCTCCACAAATCAAGATTGAAACATGCTTTGCGTGCAGAGTGCTATCATGCACACCGTACAAAATGTGGAGTGCAAGCCCATCCAAGCGTTTGGTTGTTAAGTTTCAGTCAGCCATGGCAGCTGTGCGGTCAAGAGAAAAGTGGTAATATTTAGTGCCTCTTGAAAGCAACCGTCTGAGAATAATATTATTCAGGGCCCACATGCGTGTGCTGTGCAGGAAAGGCATACAGCAAACACAGCATGGTATACTGACGAATGGATACACAATAGAGACTGTACAGCAGTGCGGAAAGCCAAGTTGGTGAACATTCAGTCTGTAACGAGACCAGCAAGAACATGCCCAGCTCTATCACGTCTGCTGCTGGTCCCTACTAGTTCTCCGCCTCGTTATAAGGCACCTCAAGACACTAATAGCTCTCCTCTGCTTCGATGTCTGGCCGGGAGAGAGTGTAGTTGAGGGCGTTGAGAGTGAGCTGGGAGGGGGTAGGGAGAGGAGGGGGGGAGCGAGAGATTGAGAAGAGACGAAAGAGAACCGAATGGGAAATGAGAGCAAATGGGTTGACTGAGGGGGAGGCGAGGAGGGGGAAGAGGAGAGGTATGGGACAGAACAGAGAGGTAAGTATAACAATTCTCAGAGGTATGAAGTAATGTGGATGACATGGGCTGTCAGCCAGGATCACAGGGAAGCGAAGGAACCGATTAGAAGAGAATATAGAGACGATGGAAGGAGACTCAGAAAGTGAGGGATTGCGCTTGAGAGCCCTAGGAGTCAGGCAGGAGAAAGGAGAAAGAGAAGGAGGTGTGAAGGGGAGGAGGCACATGAAAGACGGAATACGTGGAGACGAGAACAGGGAGTGCATCATCTAAGCAGCAGGTGGGTGCTTCATTTGCACGTTTTGTGGCCTGAGTGGAGTCTAAGGAACAATTTATACATCCAATTCAGACACACAGCTTTGCTAAACGACGATGACGCTGGTGGGCACAATAACACGATGGTGGTTGTTTCATCTCAGCATGCTCGTTTCAACTCACTGTGCTCGTTTCACCTCACTACGCTTCTTTAATCTCACCATGCTCGTTTCATCTCACCGCACTTGTTTCATCTCAGCATGCTCGTTTCATCTCACCGTGCTCGTTTCATCTCACCGCACGCTTTTCATCTCACCAGGCTCGTTTTATCTCACCGTCATCATTACATCTCACCATACTCGTTTCATCTGACCATGCTCGTTTCATCTCACCGTGGTCATCTCATCATCCAGTGGCCCCCCATGGTACGACACCGTGAACACATCCTTCGCCACCACGCCCTGCACACACATAGATGAGAGATAGGATATGGGAGATGGGGGATGGTGATTACAGAGCAGCATGGAAAGTCCATCCTTCACCAGCACACCCTGTTGGGGGACGGACATGAGTGAAGGCGTGCATGCGTGCATGCACAGTCAGCTGTCATGCACCACGCCCCCCCGCAACCACAGCACCAATTTACAGCACAGCTAACACAACAACACAGGTTCACAGCCACACTCGAGGAGCACACAGCCTTCACCTGCACCCACCTCGGTGTCGATCTCCCAGTAGTGCACACACCACCCAGCACCCAGCACGAAGCACCCATGGCCAGCTGCATGCCGGACTGCTTCTGAGTCGACTCAAAAGCAGCCCATGGCCAGCTGCATGCCGGACTGCTTCTGAGTCGACTCAAAAGCAGCCCATGGCCAGCTGCATGCCGGACTCCTCCCACCATTGGCTACCCTCCCACCGTTCCCCAACCTCCCGCCACTCCCCATCCACCGCCCTCCCCAGTTCCCCCCAACGTCCTCCTCTCACTCACAGTGCAGGGCGGCGAGTCGCATGTGAGGCCCATGGCCAGTTGCGTGCCTGGCTCCTGGGGGAAGGGTAGCGGGAAGGGTGAAGGGGAAGGGACGGAGAGAGGGGTGCTAATTGGTGGGCTTCGGTGCACGGAAGCGAGTCGCATGTAAGGCGCATGTGAGGCGCATGAGGGGCATGTGAGGCGCATGAGGGGCATGTGAGGCGCGAGTGAGGCGCATGTGAGGCGCATGTGAGGCGCATGTGAGGCGCATGTGAGGCGCATGAGGGGCATGTGAGGCGCGAGTGAGGCGCATGTGAGGCGCATGTTAGGCGCATGTGAGGCGCATGTGAGGCGCATGTGAGGCCCATGAACGGGAAGCGGGAAAGGGGAAGGGAGAAGGGAGAGGAGGAAAGGGAAAGAGGAAGGGGGAGGAGGAATGGTGGGTGGAAAGGGAAGGGGAAAGGGGAAGGGTGGAAGGGAAAGAGGGATGAAAGTGATTGCTTGTTGCTTGTTCATTGATGATTGTGTGGGTGGCAGGGGGGCATTGAATTCAGCCGGTTTCGTTAGAGTGACAGCGTGGGTAGGAACACAATATCCAAGGAGAAAGCAGCAGCAGGCAAACCAATCCACCCGCCGGGTGGCATGCAGCAAACTACATACTGGTTGTAGGCACGAACGCGGCGCACTCACTCACAGGGCGGTGAGCGCGCAGAGCTGGGTGACGTCGCTGCTGCCAGGCAGAGCATGTCCTACATTTAACCGAAACGTCGCTAGCTTCTCGATATTTTGGTTCGTGATGGCTCGCGAATGCGATGCATTCCACCGGGCTTTTTTAGACGTCTCAAATATCTACTTATTCTGCGTGATGGCTCGCGAATGCGATGCCACGCACTGGGCCTTTTAGTGCGTGGAAACTTCGAAACCCGGTGCGCGGCGCGGCGCGCCCTGCCAAGACGTTCTGCACAACATCCCTAGAATATTGTTTCCGACCTGATTTCCTGGACTGCTCCCTATCCTCATCTATTTCCCGCACCCAAAACATATGCCAAGCCTCGACTTCAGATGCCCCCACCGCGCTGGGGTTCTTCGCTATAACGTGCCTATTATCGGATTCATCCAGCCACACCTGTGATTCTGCGCTCATAAAGCATTCACTGTTTATTATCAGCCATTAAACAGCCTTTTCCAGATGCGTCAATATTGATTTTTTGCCTTCCCCTCGTGTGTATCTCCGCCACGGTTCCACCACCACCCGAACCGACTTCTGCAGCCTCGTCACAGCTCGGAGCCCCCACGTTTGGTGCTACTGTTGACGTCTCATTGTGCGGTTACCCCAACATACGCCTCTGCCCCGTTGTGCTTTTGCAAAACCCGTCTGCGCTGCTGTCATTGGCGCGCTGGTCCTCCGAAGTCCCATTCCCAATGTCGGGTTTCATCGCCGTTTCAGCAGTGCAGCTCAAAGATCCAAAACATATGCTCAACTAAGTAAGCTACAGACATCCTTCGATCTCAATGATTTTCGCTGCATTGCATCCAAAGAAATCAAGCCCCAAGCACAAGAGCTGGAACTTGTTAACGCAAGACAAACCGCATCCGTCTTTGCGCTGACCGGGACACGCCCCAGTTTGAGCCCGGTCTCCTTCCTCCCAGGGTGGCGCAGATTCCCGTCTCACAGACAACGCGCTTCCACTTTTTGCCGTTTTCCCGCCAATCCATCAACCCCGGAGCCCCTCGAGCACTGTTCAAACGGTCACCGAACAGGCTCAGTCGCACGCACAACCTTCCTTTTCAAGTCCAAGTCAGCACAGATCTGTGTATTTGCGGGTAGGTGAGCTCCAGGGTCCAGCACAGCACAGCGCCTCCAACGCAGTGAAGCTCGCTCGAGTAGGTTGGGGCCTAAAACCGGCCCCTTTCCAACTCGCCATCGTCTGTGGCTGTAGGCAGGTGGAACAGACCGCGCGGGAAACTAGTTGCAAAATTGCGAGGAAATTACGCTGGCTTGAGTGTGCTCGTGGTGCTCGTCGTGACGTTTGCTGGTCAGGCCTTCATAGTCTCTCGGAAAGTAAAGGATGGCACTTTTGTATCAGCCAACAGCCAGTGTTCAGGTAGTAGCGAGTAGGTCCCAGTTTAGTTCTAGCCTAGCCGCCAGCGCGCAAGTCGCCGTTTCTCGTCCCAACCTCGCTGTTTATAGTAGCAGCCGGTCGTGTCTCAATCACATATCGTATTCACTCGATCACCGTCATTCCGTGCATAACAATAGCCTCAAAGGTATTAGCAGCACTTTCGCCCGAATTCTCAAGTTCGCCATGGCTCCTGGCATCAATATTGCCACCTGCGCTCCGAGAGTAAGAGCGGAGTGCCTAGATCGGAACGTACGATCTAGATCTCACGGTCTACCTAGCTTCTCCCAGCCGGTTCCTGCCAAATCCAGCCAATCCTTATCCCTGAAGAACGCCGGCGCTCGAGCACAGTCTCCCATTCCCGCACTTTCCTCGCGACGCCTCGATCAGGACCAATCAGACGCCGCTACGTTGTCTTCCGTCCGAGCCGCGTCGGCGCTGCAATCACTCGACGCGCCGCTCGCCGAGACGCCAGATGCGCTGCCGTCAGAAGTGCCGTACACTGTAGTTATGAAGTTCGGCGGCTCGTCGGTGGCGAACGCGGCTCGCATGAGGGAGGTGGCAGATCTGATTCTGTCATTCCCAGAGGAGAATCCGATCATCGTCATGTCCGCCATGGGGAAATCGACAAACCACCTGATCAAGGTGCGGCATGCTCTGCTGACCGTGTCTCGGCCAATAGCGCGAATGCTGGCCGCTTCATGCGATTTCAGAATCTGAGAACGTGCTACGAGGACAGACTTCTGAGAGCCGGTTTCCGGCATCAAGAGAGTGACGGCCGTCTAA